TAGACGGGGCCGCGCACACGCGGAGGGGGAACGTAGACGGGATCGCTAACGTAGACGGGACCGCGCACACGCGGAGAGGGGAACGTAGACGGGATCGCGCACACGCGGAGGGGGAAACGTAGACGGGACCGCGCACACGCGGAGAGGGGAACGTAGACGGGACCGCGCACACGCGGAGAGGGGAACGTAGACGGGACCGCGCACACGCGGAGGGGGAACGTAGACGGGACCGCGCACACGCGGAGGGGGAACGTAGGCGGATCGCACACACAGATTGCAGCATCAGATTGAAGGAACCCCATTGGCCCATCCATCAGATCCTTCACCACCATCATCTGTGTGTCATCTCTGTCCGCGTGTCATCTCTGTCCGCGTGTCATCTCTGTCCGCGTGTCATCTCTGTCCGTGTCTTCCCCCGCAGTGACTCCAGGGATGAAGATCTACATTGACCCGTTCACATACGAGGATCCCAACGAAGCCGTACGAGAGTTTGCCAAAGAAATCGACATTTCCTGTGTGAAGATCGAGCAGGTGATTGGAGCAGGTGAGAGCTGACCTCTGACCCGAGTGTTGGGGGATGGTCTATAGAGGGCAGCTGACCTCTGACCCGAGTGTTGGGGAATGGTCTATAGAGGGCAGCTGACCTCTGACCCGAGTGTTGGGGAATGGTCTATAGAGGGCAGCTGACCGGTCCTGACCCGAGTGTTGGGGGATGGTCTATAGAGGGCAGCTGACCGGTCCTGACCCGAGTGTTGGGGGATGGACTATAGAGGGCAGCTGACCGGTCCTGACCCGAGTGTTGGGGGATGGTCTATGGAGGGCAGCTGGCCTCTGACCCGAGTGTTGGGGGATGGACTATAGAGGGCAGCCGACCTGTGACCCCAGAGTTGGGGGATGGTCTATAGAGGGCAGCCGACCTGTGACCCCAGTGTTGGGGGATGGTCTATAGAGAGCAGCCGACCTCTGACCCCAGTGTTGGGGGATGGTCTATAGAGGGCAGCCGCCCGGTCCTGACCCGAGTGTTGGGGGATGGACTATAGAGGGCAGCCGACCTGTGACCCCAGTGTTGGGGGATGGTCTATAGAGGGCAGCTGACCCGAGTGTTGGGGGATGGACTATAGAGGGCAGCTGACCCGAGTGTTGGGGGATGGTCTATAGAGGGCAGCCGACCTGTGACCCGAGTGTTGGGGGATGGTCTATAGAGGGCAGCCGACCTGTGACCCCAGTGTTGGGGGATGGTCTATAGAGGGCAGCTGACCGGTCCTGACCCCTCTGTGTCTCCTGCAGGGGAGTTCGGAGAAGTTTGCAGTGGACATCTGAAGCTTCCAGGTAAGCGGGAGGTCTTTGTGGCCATCAAGACGCTGAAGTCGGGGTACACGGAGAAGCAGCGGCGAGACTTCCTCAGCGAGGCCAGCATCATGGGGCAGTTCGATCATCCCAACGTCATCCACCTGGAGGGTGTTGTCACCAAGAGTTCTCCCGTCATGATCATCACCGAGTTCATGGAGAACGGATCGCTGGACTCCTTCCTACGGGTACGAGCCTGCCCGCG